GACCAGACAAGACAAGACAAGACATGATGAGACAAGATTAGATTGTAGAAAATCAAATTAGATAAGATAAGATACGATAAGATAAGCATTCAGAATATGACGTATAGCAGATAAAACCATAATACACAGATCATGTGACAGGAATTTTGGCACGGTGCTTTCTATCCATTCTAACTTTACATTTACCTTTATCATTTGTAGTTTGACTGGCAGGTGGAGTTTAGGGGAATGACAGGACCAGCAGTCAGCACAATGTATGGGGCAGCACACACACAAACACCTACGCACAGATGTATGGCATATACCTGTCTCCTTAGGTTAGCAAGAGCCTACAGTAATCGTATTTGCCAGGTTCTTGGCAGTTTCAGCAAAGCAGTCAATCTGATAGCAGGGTCGAAAGGGTCTGTGTGTGTGTGTGTGTGTTTGTGTGTGTGCATGTGTGTGAGTGAGAGAAGTGCAATAAATGGCGTACGATGCTATGCTAGCCACTGGGCAGCTTGAAAGGGAACAACTGAGAGAGATAGAGACCCTGCCCTCTGAGAAACAGTAAGTGAGACAGAAAGGGAGAGAGACCTAGAGACATAGATTGAGAGTGAGTGAGAGAGGCGAGGAGGCAATGAGAGAGAGAGACAGAAGAGAAAGTGAGAGCGAGGGGGGGAGAGAGACAAAGTGAGAGGGAGAGAGAGACATACGAGAAAATCAATGCTGTGTCCACCAGGGACAGAATGTCATGATGGTTTTTTTACTCTGTGGTATAATGGAGGGTTGGAGCCTTTTACTGCAGGAGTCACCTTGTCTAATGGAGGGAGGGATGGAGGGGGGTGAAAAGAAAAAATTGTGAGGGGAGAAAGGGAGAGAGAAAAAGAGGGGGGACTGGTTGGCGGTAGCTGGGAATGGATGGATGGTGAAATAAGAGGGAGGAGTGGAGGGAAGACGGGGAGTAGAGATGGGCCGAACAATAGAGAATAGATGGAGAGCAGAAGAAAAGAAAAGAAAAGAAAGAGGGATGAAGAAAAATGAAAAAAACGGAATTGAAAGATAGAGAAAAAAGACGAAGAGGGAAAGAGAAAAGACTGACAGGCCGACGGTGGTAGAAGACCAACAAGAGGAAGAGTAATGGATGAAGAGAGAATAAAATTGATGGTAGGATGGATGGAGGATGAAGATGTGATGACAGACAAAGTGAGAAAGCAAGAGGAGATGGACGACAGAGAAAGGAGGAGGAATGAGGGAGTAAGGAAGGAGGAGAAAGTTTAAGAAAGTAGCGCTGACAAGAGGAGAAACTACAGAAAGAAAGACATAAGGAACAGGGAAAAAGGAGGATGAGGAGGATGAGGAAGAAATTATCGATCTTTATATGACTGAGTCACTTCTAATTTTGGCAGAAAAAAAGTAAAATGATTCACTTTATAGGTCAAAGCAATTTAGTGCAAAACATTTTAACAGGGGAAGAGACAATTTTACCGTCAAATTTGATTGATATGACTTTATAGCTTTGGCAGAAAGTGAAGAGCCGTGTTGTCGTCTTAGTGAAGCTAAGGGCCGCGTGCAGCGTTTTAGAGTGGAAAATATCCCATGTGGAAAGCCTGGAAACTCATGTAAAATTTCACCTACTGTACATTGGAGCTGCTCAGTGGGACAACCACAGGAGACTGCGGTCATATTGGGGAGCTCTCAGGTGTAAACGTGTGTTTATGTATGAATGTGACACAGGGAATAAATACAAATGAAAGAAATCAACATGCAAGGTGCTGTAACATTGCAACCGATATGTGATTTGCTCAGCAGTTGATTGATTTCGGAACTTCAAATGGTTGTGAAATACTTGAGGGAGTCTAAGGTGGTGCGAAGCGTTTATTTTGGACTGTGTCCGACGTGAGAGAGAAGAGTGGATTAGATGATCAGAGGCCAACCTGAACTCAAAGGTTTGGAGCCCAGCCATGAGAACTCAACTGACACTCGCTCACTAACATACACACACACACACACAACCCCCCCACCACACAACACACACATGCACGCACAGCAGTACAGAGCACAGAGTACAGGCACTTTCAGGTCCATTTAACTTAAGAGTAATAATCTCCTGTAGACTTTGGCGGCCATCTTGAACTTACATCACACTTGGGAGAGGAAACTAACCAGAAGAGCACATTTGCCTGTAGCCTAACTATGAATCACTGATCTGTAGCAAGATGCATATTAATCAATTCACAGATTGCCCCATGAAAAGAAACACATAGATCTTAACAATTCAAGGACACAGTCCACATTTTAAGGTGATACATGCATTTGGCTGATCATACGAATGTACTCATTCGAGCAGCTGTTGTAAATGTGCTCGCTAAGCTTAGCTAAGCAATGTTTTTTCTATAGTAGGGTGAAATATTGCGATGACCGTGCCAACCTAAACCCGAGCCCAAAATTCCTAGAGTTCTCTGTTGGTAATCTTCAGTCACTTGCTTTAGTGTTGGAAAAACACAGTTTAGTGTACATATGAGGGGCACAAAATATAAACATAAAACCTGACTAAACTACTCTCTAGAGTAACTTTATCACAGTTACAAACATGACTAGGTTGATGCCAATTAGCAGCACCTGTCAGCTACAAAAGAGTTTTTGATGATATCACTTCATCATCAGCAGACTGAGTTCGCCCAATAGTCAGGGAACCGCAGATGTTCTTTTGCTAAGCACTTCTCATTTATGTTCACTTAAAAGCTCAGTTCACAGTTCATTCTTGAAAACAGCAGCTAAGAAAACATTTCCACCAACAAGTTCTATTTGTTTTGTGACTGTTGTGAGGCTTTCATTCATATTACATATTACACTGCATTGGCATATTGGAGTGAAATAAAGGATGATTTATGTTCATCTTGCACTCGTCCAGTGGATAAGTATGACAGATACAGTTGGCATGCAATCAAATATGACCCATCTTTGCATCAGTGACTGCAATGGTGATTTATTTACTTCTAAATTAAAATATATGTTTGTGAACTTTCTATTCTATTATATGTGCATGCAGTCTCTCAACACATGGCATATACTTAAAAGACAAAAAACGTGCTTATTATTATTTCTTCACATTACAACAAAGCCAGTACTACACACAATCTCTATATTAAGATAACAATCATCCCCTCTACTCTCTGTCGCCCTATCTGTTATTCTTTCTAACTCATTTAGCCAAAGAATATTGTTTTAATTTTTTTTCTGTCAGTCAACAGCTCTAGTAGCGAAATAAGGCTTGGAGAGCATCCAGAAAGATGGGTTATTATCTTTTTGCATCTTGTAGTTATTATGCTCTGCTTTGTTTTTCTATCCCATTCTCCCTTCCTTTCCTCTGTCATGTCAGTCATGGCTGATAAAACACAACAGCAAACTTTAATTTACACTGAGAAGATTTGTTGAGCAAATCTTCCTTTTTTTTCCTTATCCAGCTTTATTGTTCTGTACTGTTACAATCCTACACAATCACAATATGCTCTACTTTAAAAACTATTGTTTTTAATTCTATTCTGAACTATCTAACCCTATATCGAACTCTTTCACATTGAGGACAATGTTTACCCCCAAGAGTATGTATAGTAGTTTCCTATGCTGCATCAGACCAGATTGATCAGCCATTATTGACGAGAAACATTGATTAGGCAGTGTATTGATCACACTATCGGTGATTAGGACGTCATGAATAAGTGACAGGGGGTTATTGAGCGCTTGACGTGAGGACAAAACCTCTCTGGACATGGAGGAGAGGAGGATAAGTAAGAGGAAGATAAGAAGAGCGAGAATATGGGGGGTAGGTGAAAAATAGTAGAAAAGGAGGAAAATGAAGGAAAAAGGAGGAGGACGCGGAGAAGTGATGGAAAGCAGAAGGCTAAATACAGTGTACCAAAAAAACGTTAAATCTGGAGAACAATATTTGTTGGCCAGGGCATCTCTTCAAAACACTTCATTATAATGCTGTTTTGTCACACACGTTACCTTCATCAAAACACTGCAGCTTCTCTGATTTGTATATTACACTTGGCCATATTGCGATTTGGATGATATTTCAATTAATTGTGAAGCCCTAGTTTAAATAGCAAGAGTGTGTACCAACTGGACCTGGGGTTAATGAGGAAACATTCAAATAAAGTAGAGAAGGAATTGGGATACACCTTTGTGGGAAATAATAATAAAAATTGGTCTCATTAACACAGAAAACATAAAGGAAAAGACAGGGGTGCAGGAAAACAAGACAGGTGAGGCGGGGAGAAGGAAGATGGAGGACAGGAAGGGAGTAATTGTGCTTACAGGTTCTTGACACTTGTGATTCCTCTGAAAGCCTTCCTTGGAACCGCCTGAATCTGGTTCTCGCTGAGGTCTCTGGAGGGAGAGAGAGAGAGAGAGACACAGACGGAGACACAGAAAGTGAGAGAGAGACAGACGGAGGGAGAGAGAGGGAGGAGACATTAGTTGAGGTATTCCATGCACTCCGAGATATATGGAGTCAAAATGATAAACAAAACCACAAACATTTGATCTATGCCAAACACACAAAAACTCAAAGCCAATTACAGTACAAAGGCACAGAAGGAGAAAGAGATGGAGAGAAGGAGAGAGAGAGAGAGAAGGGGAAGGATGATATGACATTTATGATCAGTGGAACAATTTGGTCCAAAGAGCTTCAAAGACAAAAGGAACTATCAGAAATATTGCTGGCATGAGTCCATCTACTGCCTTGAAGTGTGTGTGCAATCTGTGTGTGTGTGTGTGTGTGTGATTAATGGAGAGGCAGTGGCGGGGAAAGAACGAGTAAAGAGGAAGAAAGAATCAGAATAATAGACGAGAGAAAGGGTGTGTGTGTGTGTGTGTGTGTGTGTGTGTGAGTCTGGTGAAATGTGTGTGCTTCGCATGTTTTTAATGTAAAAGCTTTTTTTTTCTTTCTAACTTAACCACTCCAACAGCGCAGTGTTGCTCTGGCAGAAAAATGAAGCAATCACATCTTTTCTGAGAAACACGAGAAACACACACAAACACACGTTTTAATACCGCCATCAAGAAACATGTTTAGTTTTTTTCTCCCTCTCAGTGATGACTCTCTTCTCTTTAACACACACACTGCACAACGGCCACGCTACGTGTTTTTTTTTTCCTTTTTCTTCCTCCGTAATGAATGCTGATATGAGCCAAATGATTTTTGACATGACACGACAGCTTGGCCTTAACTCTATTAGTGTTGTTTGTTGGGGAGAAGGCCTGGCAGACAAGCCGGGTTCAGAAAGCACAATGTAATTAGAGAGAGAGAAAGAGAGGTATGAAATATCAGACAAGGTAATCACCCTATATTCCTGCCAGTCAGGCCTGAGTTGGATACACATACTAAACACACATGTGCTAACAAAGCCAATCAGCGGCAGCACACAAATACATGACCACGCACGTTTAGTCACATACAGCAGAGCAACAAACCTCTGCCTGGACATCTCTGTTTGACCTTGTCACACACACACACACGCACACACACACAGAAACACACATACACATGAGTAGACAACATGAAAATCAGCCAACCTCTCTGTGGAGAAAGGTAATTATGTACCAACCATATCCATACCAATTTCCTGTCACGCCGCTAAGAAACACTGCTTCTCATTGGTCAGATAGACAACAACACACACACACACACCTTGGAATAAACATGCTCACACATACATAAACCCTCACATACATACTGTATATGCTTACGCCATCTAATTTACACTCACACACACATTCACGCACACAGGAGGAAAATTGGTTGTGCATTATTCCAGAGCCAATCAGCTTTTATTAGGGCTGTGAATGTTAATTGGCGAGCCGTGCTCGGAAAACAGAAAACTCATTTCCTCAAACTAACAAGGTTTCATCGTTTTGGACGTTTCCCTTTCAGCCCTGTGTTTTCTGGCTCATTCCTTTTGTTTGACAAGAGATGAGCGTTCCCCGTTTTCTCTCCCCAGGCCTTGATGGGAAAAGTATGTGCCTGGCATTGTATACTCTTTATGCAAAGAAAATATGTGCTTTTATGTGCAATTTTGCTCAGCGCTTGCGGTAACGAAGGAGCACAAACATTTGACGGACAGGAATGGTATTATGATATTTTAATGCGCAGCACAGCCGGAAAATATTCCTTGTGTTTACACTTCTTGTTTTGAAGGTTTTGACACTTTTTGGGTAGGGATGAGATTTTTCTGAACGGTTTTCCTGCTTTTTTTCTGTCTTTGCTTGCATGCTGACGTTGACACGGCAAATAGGAAACAGATAGAAAGCAAAGCTGTGAGCTCTCTATCCCGCACTCCCCTTTCTCTCTCTATTATCTATCATTCTCTCCATCTATCTACCTAACTATCTAACTATATCCATAAATCTATCTCTTTTATCTCTATGATTTGCATCTCTTTTACATCACCCTGCCCTCTGTGGACTTCTGACAAAAAGAGAATGATAACCAAAAAAGAATAAGAATAAGGAAGGAGAACGAGAACAAGATAAAGAAAAACATTAAAAAGTCATATTTCAGAGGAGCTCCATGGCTAATAAATCTTTTATTGTTTTGTTTACCCACCATGATATTTATTTGTTATTTCTTCTAACAGAAGGAAAGCCATCCAAGTCAAATAAAAGCCATTATGAGACTGTGTGTCTCTCTGTCGGCCTTTATGACTCCAGCTGAGTGACTGACACCAGCTCTGGGAGTCCACAGTTTAGGCCGCCACAATAAAACTCATATGTCACAAGGCTTTGAATGAAGTTTTCATCGTACGGTTGGTTACTGGTTGTCTATTTGTGCAATTCGTTTTAGGGTTATGGAAATGTTTTTATGTCCAAGCTCCATCCAGCGTTCTCACTGTTTGGGTGACATTTTGCGAGGTGTAAACAAAAGATGGACATCTCATCAACATTTTACTGGAAACTAAATACAATATTTTATTTTAATGAGCACAATGGGTTTCAATGTGTGAGCTAGAGGAGGGATGTTTGCTATTCTTAAAATTGGTTTATAGTTAGATAAAGTGTATCAGTCTGTATCAGTCTGATAAATCTGTAGAAATTGTTTGAAGCTGTACTAGGCAAGATTTTCGAATGCAAAGGTCTTATCAGCTTGCCAGATGCAGTACATTTGCTGTTGCAATTCTGGTGTTGTCACTGGCAAGACACCAGCAAATCACAGGAAGTCATAAAAATGGGAGAATTTTTTTTTCTCATTTTCACCACCTCCAGCACCACCAGACACACTGACAAAGAAATTGAGACGATTTATTTTACTTCTATCATCTCAAAGTTTCTTCGCAATTAACAGCCCTGAAAGCCCCTAAAAACATGTTTCAACGAAATTGCACATTCATTACTAAATGTGCAACAATCAAAGTTAACGTTTGATTAAAAAAATTTATTTATTCACTAAAAGTATAATGCTGTATACTCTGCTTAGCTTAATCAGATTTGATTGAGAGAGGCCTGGCAACTGTCATCACATTTTGATCCAAATGTTTCTAAAATACGATTGGTGTGCAGAAAAAAACAACGAAAACCAGATTGTCTTCTGTTGAATAACTAAAACTATGGCTGAAAATGTTGTGTTGATGTTCACAGTAAGAACCTGAAGATGAAAATAGGCCCTTTGGGGGCCTTTAATATTCAAGCAAATGTCTCTGATATAACCTCATACTGGCGGATATTAATGAATAACTCTTTACTCTATCATAATGTATTACTAATGTCTGAACACATCCAACATCCGGAGCTACCTTATGTTTTCATGTAAACAGCTGTCCTCCTCTCATCTCTCTGTGACTCATACCTGCCGACCTTTGAGCAGAGCGAAGGCTATCACCAACAGGAGATTGGCCTGTGATCCTTGAAAAGGACACTCACTGATAGACTGACCACACAAACAGCACACACACACACAGGCACATACAGGCCTCGTTTGGACAGCGGGATGGTTTGTACACCAGTGTCTACAAACCAGGTCCCACATTTCAATTATTGGATTTAGCCTTTTAGGTCTTCCTCTATTGCAGGAGCGTTTGAGGAGGAAGGCAATTAATCTCTAAAAAATTCTATTAAAGAGACGGATGGCTGTTTGAATTATACATCAGTTCTATTAGGATGACAAATTCTGTAAATTATAGTGATACTGATTATGAAAACAACTGAATATCTTGTAAAAATTGGGAGATCTCAGGAAGTGGATAGAGACAAAAAAAAAACAATGCAAAAGTTCACAGAAGTTCAAGTAAGCTTAGTTTAGTATCCATGAATACAAGGAGAAAATGAAGAAAAGAATGAATGAAAAGAGGAGGCAAAAGAAGAAGAAGAAGGAGAAGAAGAAGAAGAAGAAGAAGAAGAAGAAGAAGTAGAGGAAGAACCAAAAGCAGCAGCAAAAGCAGTCTTCCATTATCCGTTCCATGTTTGTCATGGCTTACTAAGTACTGTATAATTGATTGAATTTTGACCAAATGTCTTCCAGACCTTCCCCTTTCACCACAAAGACCCCCCACCCTTGGTTAGAGTTTCCCCAGCCAAGGCCTCTCCTCTCTGGGCAGGGTGACTCTCTGTGGCCCCTAGAAGTCTGGAAGGATTGAGGATGACAGCAAGATCATCCTCGGGGTTGGGGTAGTGGTGGTGGTGGTCGTGTGGGTGTGTGTGTGAGGGTGTGTTTGTGTGTGTGCGTGCTCCCAGCTATCACCTCCTCCATATTAAATTCCATTATTCATGTGAGGAGAATAATAACACTCGCCAGGTCACCCTTTGCCGCTTCGGATATTACTGTTAACCCTTTACCGCACACAGAAACACACACACAATGCTAAACAAACCACATTGTGACCCCTCATTGGCGTTAACCCTTTACCCACACAAACACACACAC